CCTTCTTTAAGAGTATGCATAAAACAATTCATAAGCAGTCTTCTCCTACTCACTCGTGTTTTTTTTTTTTTTCTAAATTCTTCCATAATGTACGCATAAATACATTTCCAAACAGAATAATGTACTTTTTTAAATCACCCCATGTATATATTTTCAATTATCTATTTAATCCACACCAAACGACCGCTTTTTCTCCGGATGATCCGAACGAGACAAAGAACAATGAACTCGATCTACATTTCATTTTAATTCCACTTTTGGGAAAAAAAAACACGTCATTTTTGTACATTATGTGAATGAATTAATAAACAGACTAATACATATTCTTCTTTTAACTCATTGCCGGCGGGGAAAATGAATAAAATATGGGGAAATGCTGTACTCATTTTTCATTTTTTTTTTTTTTTTTTTTTTTTTTTTGTGAAATGTCTCTACACATAGATAGCTCTGCCATATCTGATTTCACCTTTCCTTGAATTGGCGGGAAAATGTATTCTTTTACTAGTGCTATGAATATCGATGGTGTTATTTTTATTATAAACATTATAATTAATATAATGTTATAAACATTAATAATAGCAAAAAATAAGATAACGTAAAATATTTTCTCAAATTAAAGAAAAGGGTGAACGGGCGAGACAGGCAGTACCCGTAATTGGCTCATTGATCACTTAGTACAAGTGTAGCCATCTATGTGTAAAAACATGACATGCCCGTCAGCAATGGGTTAAAAGCGCCATGTAGACATTCAACGGCCTCTTTTCCCCCGAGATGATCCGAACGAAACAACCTGCTGGAGTTCGAATCCGAAATCGTTCAGGACCCTTGCGCTTTTTATTTAATTATTTATTTTCTCAATGTACTATATTCATAAACAACCTCCTTTTCTTCACCCAGATGATCCGAACGAGACAACGAACCTCCTGGATTTCGAACCCGAGATCGCCCAGGAGCTTCAGGCGAGACTCGAAGCCGAGCTGGAGAACGTGGTGCAATCGGACAGCATCCTGCCTTCCTTTAACTCGAATCCTGCGAACTGGGGCGGAGCTTGGAGTCCTGGGTGGTGTAATGCTGCATGAGCATACTTAACTGATTAAAAAAAGGAATAGGAGAGAATATAGAAGTAGTAACGAGTTTAGTAAGTAAAAGAATAAGGAAGAGAGAAAAATAAAGAAAAATAGTAATTTGTTGTTGTGTTCGTCAGCAATATTTATCATTTAGGAGATCATTTATTTGGCAGTAAGGACGTAGAGAATAATTTCTAGGACATAAAGTTACCAGAGAAAGCTCAAACAAGTACATCAGCAATTACGAAAAGTTGAAAAGAAATTGCATGATAACAGGGTTGCATCATCCGCGGTAATCAGTCGACTTCCCTGCCCTCTCCTAGATGGCGCTGGCAGATGTATCAACGGGCCATTCATAGTGTTTGTCTGTTCTTTACATTCTTGGTGGTGAGGATTATGCAGCCGAGGTTATCCGAACTTAATAAATGAGTCAGTAATTAGAATGAAAGATTAATGTTTCGTATTTTCTTTATTATTGTGAGTCAAGATGTGAGGTGAGTTAAAGAGTAATAAAAGAGAGGAAATAAAATTGTTTTAATCATAAGTTAGATACAGAAATCACTAATGGTAAAACAAGGAGTAACATTATTATCCTGGTCCAGCGGCCTTATATACAATAATGAATAAATTACAGAAATGAAACCATTAATTGACAAACTGATAATCTTTACGAAACAATAAAATGAAAATATTTGTCCACAAGAAAATAAAATCCTGAGACTAATACATAACGATATATAACACTTTCTTCGCCTAGTAACTTGCACTCATTAAAAAAAAAAAAAAAAAAAAAAAAAAAAAAAAAAAAAAACTGAAAACATTCGTGTCGTATAAATAGTAAACTAACACCCTGTTAAATAGAAGTAGTGATTTATGCAGAACCAGACCGTTGACCTGATAGTCATATATTATGCTTTCTTGTACTACATGCATGCATGAATAAACACGCACTCAGGGATAGTGAAGGTGGCTGGAGAGAAAGAGAGAGAGACAGATAAAGACAGAGACAAAGAGAGGGAGAGAGAGGCACAGAGAGACAGATAAAGACAGAGACAAAGAGAGGGAGAGAGAGGCACAGAGAGACAGATAAAGACAGAGACAGAGACAAAGAGCGAAAGAACAAGAACAAAATGGATACATATAAAGTTTATATTTGTATTTATATGCTTGTCTTTCTGTTTATATGAGTGGGTGTGCGTGTGCGTGCGTGCGTGCATATGTGTGTGTATATCTTTTTGTTTGCTTGTTTGTACCCGTGTACTGTACATATCCAAACGCCCATACACAAAATTATACACCCAACATTTCATCTTATCAATTAATTTATTTATTCATCCACTAATTCATACGTCCTACGCTTCGTACGCCGCATGTAACTTGGCCTAACCGTGTGTGTGGCGCGTAATCCTTTGTGAGTTTTATATGGACCGTTGACAGACATAACACTCGTTTTTGTAGCCGTGCCTGTGGTCTCGGGCGAAACTGCATTGCCTTGCTCGGTTTCCTTGGGCTAAGAAGGATAAAATTGAGGAAGGTTGAAAGTGAAGGACGAAAAATAGAAAAGGAATAGGATGAGTTGGTGTTTATATTTGGAAAGGAAGAAAAATGTATATATTATACAGGGGAAGGGAAAAGAGAGCGAAGATTAAGAGAAGTCAAATGGAACGAAACAAAATAAAGAAAGGATGATATGAAACGGAGAGATGCAGAGCTTATATATATATATATATATATATATATATATATATATATATATATATATATATATATATATATATATGCATATATACATATATATATATATATATATATATATATATATATATATATATATATACATATATATGTATATGCATATACATATATATAATATAATATATATGAGTGTGTAAGAGTGTGCCTGTGTGTGTGCGCCTGTATATATAAGTATATATATATATATATATATATATATATATATATATATATATATATATACATATATATATGTGTGTGTGTGTGTGTGTGTGTGTGTGTGTGTGTATGTATGTATATATGTATATATATATATATATATATATATATATATATATATATATATATATATTATATATATATTATATACATATACATATATATATAATATAATATATATGAGCGTGTACGAGTGTGTGTGTGTGCTTGTATATGTATATATATATATGTTTATATATATATATATATATATATATATATATATATATATATATATATATGTGTGTGTGTGTGTGTGTGTGTGTGTGTGTGTGTGTGTGTGTGTGTGTGTGTGTGTGTTTTAGAATATGCATGCATATATATACATGCATATGTATATAATAATAATATATATACATATATATGTATATATATGCATGTATGTACATATTACGAATGGAAAATACGGATGATTAAATGACATTTAGAAAAAAATAAAGAGGAAAGTGACTCGAAATAGGAAAATAAGAAGCAGCCCTTGTCCTAGGCAAGCCCCACAGAAAAATAAACTTGATGAATTAATCAGAGGGAAGAAACTCGAGGAAGACCAGAATATATGCAAATAGAAGCATAACGAGGAACCGAGGCCCTAAAACACAAACAAAGAAACATAGGAACGAGAGAAAAAGACAGCTTCAGAAGGCGACGTAAGCTGACACTCCCTTTGGTAACAGATCCCGAACACCCTCAAGCTTACATGTGGGAATCCTCGAAGTTTTAGCTGCCAAATGGTGCTATTTAAGGAGTACCAACGTGGTATTTACGCCCATAAAACTAGCCTTTTGCGCTCGTATCCCCGCAACCTCGCCCGACGTAATGGAAACAGTCGCCTGAGTCTAAAAAATGACCAAGCTTCCGCGGCGGTTTCAGTACCTAAAAGCAGTCGCGAGAGATAGGATTTTGACACTAAATTTAAAAGTTTTCTCGACTCCGCGTTCGCCTCATGTCTGCGTAATAACGAGGGGGCGCTCTGGGCTTTGCGGGAGAGCTGTTGTTGCTATCAGGCTCCTCTCTCCTCGTCGCGCCTTTAATTGCCTGTAACGGCTTCACGGGCCATGTAGTGGAGGAAACGCGCGTTAAGTGCTCGGGTTGGAAGCGCGTTGCTACCTGTGGCTGAGGCTGAGGCTTTTGGGTTTGGCGAAGGTGCATCTTCTAAGGGACGCTGTTGCCTCTCCAGGTGAGATCCTCAGTGTTGGCTTGATTAGTAGGTACACATATACAGATACATGAACATATACACATGTATACATGCATATATATATATATATATATATATATATATATATATATATATATATATATATATATATATATATTTATATATATATATATATATATATATATATATATAAATATATGTTTACATGCACATATATATACATATATATGTATATATGCATCTATATATACACATACATACATATACATATATGCACATAAATATTCATATATGTATATATATACATTCATATATATACATGTATTTATGTATGTACAAACACACACACACACATACAATATATGTATATATATATATATATATATATATATATATATATATATATATATATATATATATATATGTATATGTATATATGCATATATATCTATGTATACATACATACATATATATATGTTTATCTTTATGAATATACATGTAATGTATATATAAAAAAAAACATACATATATATACAAGTATGTATAAACACACATGCATGTATACATATATACATACATACACACAGACACATATATATTTACATATACATACACATATATGCAAACATACACACACGTGTGTGTCTGTGTGCATATAGATATATAATATAAATAATATATATACATATGTATTTATACTTATGTGTGCATATATAATATATATACATATACATATATATTTATATATATGTATGTGTATGTATGTATATACATATACATATATATTCATATGTTTATATATTTATATATATACATTTATATATATAATGTGTGTGTGGGCGTGTATACATATATATATATATACATATATGTGCATACATACACACGCGTGTGTGTATAAGAATGCAGACCCATATTATGCATATAAGACATACGTATATTAATATTCCGCGCAAATAACCAACCACAGGTTTCTCAATTTCTCCATCATCCTTCCATCCACAGCCTCGCGCATCCACACGCATCCACAATGAGGCAAAGGACCGCGCGCAACCACTATGTTCTCGGCCTGACGTTGTTTACTCTCCTGATGACGAGGCAGTGTAGCGCTCGATACGTCGGCCCGCGAGACGAGGAAATTAAGGAACGTCTTAATAGTATCTCGAGGCTTATTGATATTCTGTTGGATGTGACTAATTGCACGGGTAAGTTTGTTTGTCTGTATGCTTTTGTGTTAATATTTGTTAAAGTTTTCTTTGTGATTTTGTGAAGATGATGATGAAGGTGTTTTTTTGTTTTGTTTTTTTCTTCTTTTTTTAACGTGGTTTATTTTGTATCTTGTGGTGGTAGAAATGATAGTTATGATAATAATGATGATAATCATTGTTTATTATTGCCATTGCTTTTGTTGTTTTCTTTGTCGTTATTATTGTTCTTATTATTAGCCTTATTAGGATCATTATCATTATCATTATCGTTTACTTATTACTATCATTATTATTATTATGATCATCATCATCATCATTAATAGAAGCATCATCATTGTAATTATACTCATTAGTAGTAGTATCAACATTATCATTATCATTATTTTTTTCATTATTATGGTTGTTTTGCTGTTATTTTTTGTTTTTTGTTATTATTGCCAATATTATTTATCTACTATTTTATTATTATTATCATTATCATTGTTATTATTATTGTTATTATCATTATTATTATTATCATCATCATCATAATGATTAAGTTTTTATTATTATTATTATCATTATTATCATTACTATTATTATTATCATTATTATTATTATCATTATTATTATCATTATCATTATTGTCATTGTTTTCATCATCATCATTACTATTATTATTATTACTATTATTATTATCATTATAATTATTATTATTATATGAACACAATAATAGTAATGCCATTAATAGTGATATTGATATTGATAACATTAATGATGATAATGATGATGGATATTACTCGATACCAATAACAATAATAATGACTATAATTATAACAACGATAATGATTAATAATAGTAATGATAATAATAGTAATAATGATAATGATGTTAATAATGATAATGATAATGATAATAATAATGATAATGGTAATTATAATGATAGTAATTACAGTCATCATCCTCATAATAATAATCATAATAAAGAAACGAGAATAATGATAATAAGAGTAATATTAGTAATTATTACGGTGATCATAATGTTAATGATAATAACAGCAGTAATGATAATGAAAATAATTATTATTTCTTTACTACATCACTATAGTAATAATTATGACAGTAGTATTATTATTAATAATGATAATAATGGTAATAATAATGAAATAATAATGATGGTGATAGCAATGATAATAGTAGTGATAATATTAATGAGAATGATGATAATAGTGATAATAACGATAATGAAAATAATGATAATAAGAACAATCATAGTAACGATAATGATAATTATAACTGTAATTATGATGTAATGATGATTATGATGATAATAATAGAAATGATAATATTTTTTTATTATGATAATAATAGTGATAATGATAATGAAAATATGTAATGGTAATATAATGGTAAAAAAAAATGTGGTGATGATGATAACTATAACTACAGTAATAATCATAATGATGATGAGAAGGATTATAATGATATTGATAATAATGATGTTGATAACAATGCTGGTAATAATACTGATAATAACAATAACAGTGATAATAATGATCATTATGACTGTAATAGTAATGTATTAAGAACAAGATATCAATAGATACACAAAAAAAACAACAGTCATAGCAATAATGATAAGAGTTAATTATAATACATGTACATATTTCACTAATATGATAAAAATATAGCCTTGTTACACCGCTACTTCTCCTTCCCATCTTCTTCGAATATCACCCGTTCCCATTTTCTATGACCATCACCCGCTTCCGTTTTCTACACCGCGTCTTTTTCTCGCACAGACTACGTCACAATTCCCGAGGATGGAAGCGAGACCCCGGCGGCTACTCCCTTGCCCCCTCCTCCTGACTCCTATCCCCCCTCCTCCTCCTCTTCCTCTTCCTCTTCCTCCTCCCCTCCGCTGGACTCCTCTTCCCCAGACACCTCCGTAGCTGAAGACCCCTCCACATCCGCCCCCTCCTCTTCCCCCTCCTCAACCCCTTCCCCCTCTCAAGATAGTTCCTCCCCCTCCCCTGGCTCCTCCCCCTCTCCTGACACCTCCACTCCTTCTCCTGACTCCTCCTCCACTCCCTCCTCTGATATCTCGTCCTCTACCCCTGCCCCCTCCCAAGACACGTCGTCCCCCTCCCCCGACACATCCTCCACCACCCCCTCCCCCTCCCCTGACACTTCCACCCCCTCCTCTGACACTTCCACCCCCTCTCCTGACACCTCCTCCACCACCCCCTCCTCTGACACCTCCACCCCCTCTTCTGACACCTCCTCCACCACCCCCACCCCTGACACCTCCTCCCCCTCTCCTGACACCTCCTCCACCACCTCCACCCCCTCTTCTGACACCTCCACCCCCTCCCCAACCCCCCCGGATGAATGCCAATACTCAGACTTCACCCTGAGTCACACGGCTCTCCTCCCCGCGAAACCCGAGTGTCAGATAAACAAGGACGACCTGTCCGAGGAGGAGAAGGAGCAGATCCTCCGACTCCACAACGAGCTAAGGGCAAAGGTCAGGTCAGGTCAGAGGTCAAGGGTCAAGGAGTTATCTGAGGAGCTGATGATGAGAATGAATATGATGATATTAATGATGATGACGATTATGATAACAACATTTATAATGATGATGATACTGATAATGATGAGGGAAGTAGTGATAATAACATTAATCAAGATGATAATTTTAACAATATTAATGATAATGATAATGATAATAATAGCAATGATGATAACAATAATGAAGATGAGGATGATAATGCTAATAATAAAGATAAAAGCAATGATAGTAGTCATAATAATAATAATAATGATAAT